TGATCATTATTACTGCGATTAGATCATTCTGATTAATGACTGACCATTAAGACGTGTTTCTCATAAATATTTTAATGTGCACAATAATAACCTTTCACATTGTAATCATATTTTTATTTGTTATCTTTTGCATATGTGTGGCTGCTCCGTGTGTGTCTGAGCAGAGTGCACGCGCATTGTGCACCTGCCTAGAGACTTGACTTTAGACCAGGTTTTTGTTGGTCACTGGCGCATTTGCTTTTTACCCCATCTAACTAGCAACGCACCATGACTGCGCCTGACCACTCCTCATTTTTAGACCAACACACCCAGAGAAGCGCAAGTTCATTTGCTAGATGATGATAACATACATTAGAGGCTCTATTAACACAAAGACGTGTTTGCACCTCCCTCCATGTACTGTCCTTAATCCACTGATCATATATCAGTAACAGCAAATATCTGTTTGGAGTCTCCATCACAGTTTGTTCACCAGAGAAAGCAAACAACTTTATCTTTGATCAGAAGATCACAACGTGTTTTCAATTTAAAACCTGTAAGAACTCTGAAGGAAATAAATGCAAAAGATTAAATCATTTACAGAGATTAAACGAAAGATTATTTAAACATTACATAAATACGCTGTACAATATAAGTATTACAATACTTCAGACTGTAAACGTGATCAGTGTAAATATTTGTGAAAAAGTTTAGTAGTGCATGTGTCAACTATGTATGAAATACCTTAAATATATATATAGATAAATGCATTTAAACAACATAAGAACCATATACAATATATAATGTGATGTAGAGTTTGTGTGAAATAAACACAATACAATAGAAATGTATAAAGTGCACATGACTGACATGGAAAATTATGATATAATATAAACCAACAATAATACAAATATTACAGTTACATTATGTAGTAATATAGGTAGTAATACAAATACTGTAATAATTTCTTATTGTTATTATTATTGTTACTCATAGAAGTAGCAGTAGGAATATTAAATGATGTTGTAGGTAACATTACAAATATTGTACTAATATATTATGTAGGTTATGCGTGTGTATAGGTAATGTAAAGTTGTGCTTGTAATTGTTATATAGTAATAAGAATACTGCTGATGTGTATGAGGGACATCTACAGATTTGAATGATGTCTTTTAATTTAAATAAGAAAAAAAAATCCATAGACAGAAAATCTTTTTTATTAAATCAACATGAAATCAGTTCAACTTTGATTTGTGAAGCAAAGATTTGATACGAGGGTTAAAGACAAACCAACAGAACATTAATATGAAAGCTGAATTAAAAGTGTTTCTTTTATATCTGCTGTGTGACAGTAATACACCAGAATACAGACACATTAACCTGCAGATGATTCATAAAGTATTTTGTTCTGATCAACAAGACTATTGATGAAATATGTTATTAGTCATTTAGGAGGACATGAAACAAACTATGACTCTGGACTGTGAATCAAATGATAATTCTGCTTTCTTTATTTCATTCTTTCATATCCAGGCATCAAACGAACCAACCTGACTAACTGTTAGGTCAAAGATCATTTTCATCATTTACTGAATTTCTTTAACTCTTTTTGTATTTGTTGGATGGCCCGGTGATTTCTTGGACAGTTCAGTAATCCCGGCTGAGTCTCATGGAAGAGAATGTGAGTGACCATCTTGATGTTCGGATACATTTCTGACCATTGTGTCACACCAGGTGAAAAGTCGTGATCTCTGGTGTGACACATCACCACTAAAATAACTGGTTTGTTTCCAGATGACACTGAAACACCAGAGAAGAAGAGAACGGTTAGAAACAGACTTCCTGTGATGATGAACATGCAGCAGAGAATGTTTTATCACAGGAGTGGTAATCAACACAGGTAGGAACAATTCAGTACATCGTGCCCCATATTCATTCATACATTCATTTATTCATTCATTCATTCATTGGTGCTGGTTCATGGTGCTGACGTATTGCGGTAAGCGAGTTGTGTCATCTCCGGTGTTTCTGTGACAGCGTCTCTGTACTGCTCTGGTGAATTCTACTAGCCTGCTTTCTCACTTCAGTTGCTTTAACGTCTACTTCAAGTCTTAACCCACACTAGTTCTGTTTAAGCACTTATAGCTCTCCTCCTTTCTACGACTTTCTCGCTAATCTCTTAGATGTTGTTTGCACGTTACTAGCCTTGGTAGCTACATTAGCTTTACAGTTAGCGATGGCTTCTCCTTCTGCTTTTTCTTGCTCGGTGTGCCAAATGTTCAGTTATGCCTCTGCCTCCTTTAGCAACAGTGGTAATTGGAACAAGTGTAGCTTATTTGCTGCGTTGGAGGCGAGGCTTAGTGAATTAGAAGCGCGGCTCCACACCATGGAAAACCATTCAGTAGCTGCGGTAGTTAGCCAGCCCCCTGTAGCCGGTACGGAGCCACATAGCATAGCCTCCGCTAGCTGTCCTCTGCTAACATCCGTTCAGCCGGGAGGTTGGGTAACCGTTCGCCAGAGGCACAGCTCCAAGCCGAAGCCCACGGCTCACCTCCAGCCTGTTCACGTTTCCAACCGCTTTTCCCCACTCAGCGACACACCCGCTGAGGATAAAACTCAGAAACTTATTGGCAGCTCTATTCTGAGGAACATTAAGTTAGCAACACCAGCGGCCGTAGTCAAATGTATCCCTGGGGCCAGAGCAGGCGACATTTAGTCAAATTGAAAACTGCTGGCTAAAGCTAAATGTAGATTTAGTAAGATTGTTATTCACGTTGGCAGCAATGACACCCGGTTACGCCAATCGGAGGTCACTAAAATTAATATTGCCTCGGTGTGTGAATATGCAAAAATGATGTCGGACTCCGTAGTTTTCTCTGGACCCCTCCCAAATCTGACCACTGATGACATGTTTAGCCGCATGTCATCATTTAATCACTGGCTGTCCAGGTGGTGTCCAGCAAACGATGTGGGTTTCGTTAATAATTGGCAAACTTTCTGGGGAAAACCTGGTCTTATTAGGAGAGACGGCATTCATCCCACTTTGGATGGAGCTGCTCTCATTTCTAGGAACCTGGCAAATTTTTTAGTAATTCAAATCCCTGACAACCCAGAGCTGAGATCAGGACTCAGAGTCGCAGTCCTATACGCCTCTCTGAGCTTCTAGTTCAGTTACCCAGCCATAGTTTTCATAGTTTTATACAAACGGTGTCTGTCCCCCGACCACCTAAATTATTTAAATCTAAAATTAAACAAAGAGGAGTTGTGCATAACAACCTCATAAAAATTAAAACCTCTTCTGTGACAGAAAGTCAAAACAGGAGAATTAAATGCGGACTGTTAAATATCAGGTCTCTATCGTCTAAAGCAGTGTTAGTAAACGAATTAATATCAGATAATCATATTGATTTACTCAGTCTCACCGAAACCTGGCTGCGTCCTGATGAATATGTTAGTCTAAATGAATCCACTCCTCCCAGTCATAATAATACCCACATTCCTCGAGGCAGCGGCCGAGGAGGGGGAGTTGCAGCCATTTTTAACTCTAGTCTGTTAATCAGCCCTGTTAGAGCCAATTTGCATGGTTCAGTGCCATGTTTCATATTTCATTTATTTCTACATTTCTTTATTGTTATGCATTATGTATCCTTATTTCTTTGCATTATGTCTCTGTATGCATTTGGGTTCGTGCAATTCCAATATTGCCCGGTGGGTGGCTCCACCTGCCTGTGGAGCGGAAATGGTTTGCCTGTCTATTTAATGTGTATGGCTCTGGTGATATTCAGGTGTGTTTTGTTACCGGCAGGAGCATACAAGTTTTTGACTGTCAGTTTGGGTTGTTGTTTGCACTTGTCAAGGTATACCGTTTGCATCGTATCTTTCATGCAATAGTGCATTTTGGACTATTTTGTGTGGTGTAAATAAATACAGTTTGGAGTATTGCAACGGACCTGTGGAACTCAATTATTCAACTGACAAGTGGCCCATGAACGCGTTAATCATATGTTTAGCCCGGTTTCAGCCACCTCATGGCTTGTAGGTTTATTGTTTTTCTTTCTTATTTAGTCCTAAGTAAGTCAAGCCATACAAGCCCTAAACCTAAACAAGATTATAATTCATTTGAAAGCCTTGTTCTTAGTTTTTTACATCCGACCTGGAAAACCTCACAGCCACTTTTATTTGTTATAGTGTACCGTGCTCCTGGCCCGTATTCTGAATTTGTATCTGAATTCTCAGTTTTTATCCAGTTTAGTTCTTAAATCAGATAAAGTCATTACTATAGACAATTTTAACATTCATGTCGACGTTGATAATGACTCCCTGGCTACCGCGTTTATCTCATTATTAGACTCCATTGGCTTCAGTCAGGATGTACATGAACCCACTCACTGTTTTAACCATACCCTCGATCTAGTTCTGATGTATGGAATTGAAATTGATAACCTAACAGTCTTTCCACAGAATCCCTCGCTATCAGATCATTATCTGATTACTTTTGATTTCTGTTTACTCGATTACACGCCACTCAGCAACAGTTACTATACTAGATGTTTATCAGATAGTGCTGTCGCAAAATTTAAGGACATGATTACTCCGTTGTTAAATTTAATACCAAGTCCTTCAGTAACAGAGGTTTCCCATACCGACTTTAACCTCTCCCGAATTGATCATTTTGTCGATTGCGCCGTAGGCTCACTGTGAACAACACTCGACTCTGTAGCTCCTCTTAAAAAGAAGTTAAAAAAGCAAAGAAAGTTTGCTCCTTGGTATAACTCTCAAACCCGTAAGTTAAAACAAATATCGCAAAAATTTGAAAGGAATTGGCGATTGACCAAACTGGAAGAATCTCGTTTAATCTGGACAGACAGTCTCAAAACGTATAAGAGGGGCCTCCGCAATGCCAGAGCAAACTATTACTCAGCATTAGAAGAAAACAAGAACAACCCCAGGTTTCTTTTCAGCACT